AATTCCGTGGACTTAGTGGCGAGTTGCTCCTCAAAGCGGTTTGTCATCTGATCGAGAAATCCTCGGCGGCTGGCCTGCCACTGCACGGAGATCCGGTTGTCGGTAAGCGATTCTTACGGATTGAGCAAACCGTTATTTCGTGTTAATTATCCATATGACTTCCGATCATCCTTTTCCACTTAATAATATTTGCCTGCGAATGATCTTTCATTGGTATGGAAATGTCCCAGTTGGGTGTGGGCCTCAGTTGAAATCACCACGTGTGAGCATACGTGACGAACTAAAAGTCGCCTCCCCCATAGACTTCACCCTATGATGAAGTGTGATAAATCAGCAAAAAAGTATAAAACAGCTCAAATACAGGGTGCGCTATGTAAGATCTGGAGATTTTTAAAGTAGATTGGAATCAATAATACTCCCACTTCCGAAAGAATTCGGTCAGCGGGTACTGTAATTCCGAGAATGCATGCATTGCTAAAAGTGCATGATCTGTTCTGGTTGTTTGCAACTCGCCGTATCATGCCCCGGCAAAGTGGTTGGCTAATTTATTGAATCTTGGTCGGACAGGAATAGCGAAGCACAGTTAAAAAGATGCATTCCTTTTTGTGAACGAACTTCTCGACATAAACTTGATCGATCGAATAGTGCTCTGGATGGACGTTAGCTCGTTGTTCCACAATGTTCCCCGCAGTGAAACGATTGAATATCAGTGCAGTTGCGTACAAATTAATGATGTAGGTTTAAGCCTGCACATACAACATTCATTTTAAATCTACCTACCAGATATGTCGATAAAAAAAGGTTCAGTTATTTGGTCTCGGCCTGGACCTCTTTTCAGCGACTTTTTCATGAAAACATTCAACTCTAATCATCCATCAAACAGTGTATGCAATACACAATACGTGGATGGCATTTTATATATGATCAATGCAACGTCGGACCCAATCTAACCAGTTTCAACGCTGCTTATCTAAACAAAACATTCACGCTAGAAGTTAGATAATTCAGCGGAGGTTATCTAACTGCATCGGTAAGACATTCTCTGCAGCATAGCTTTGTGTGTCCTACATGCCGGGGCCAATTTTATGTTTGTGATTAAAGTACAAAGCGCCCGACTTTGTGGTCTCATTTTGCGTGTACTCCTGTGCTTGTTCCTGTGGAATAACAAGTCATTGTTCGAACAAATCTGAGCACACCACCATGCATGACTGAACTCCGGAACGATTGAATCCTTCACCAGTGGTTCCACACCCAGATGAACTTGATAAAACTGTGATCGTCACGGACGCATTCCGCCCCTCCACCTCCCCCTGTATATGGTTAGTGGTTGACTATCGAGGTAGGTTCACTGTCGGATGCTAGCTACAGTAGTAGCGGTAGCAATCCATCCGCACAACTTCCCCCTGTATGCTCAAAAATAGTTTATGCAGGTACTTAAGCTTCACTGACCCACCAACCTTCACCCTCCTCACTTTCCTAATAATCTCGATAATTGGACGAATGAACAGACATTTGTGTGATCATTGTGAATCTCTCATCCGTTCCCGAGACGAAATCGATCCTATTTGTCCACTATGTGGGTTTTCCTTTCCGAAAGACAATTTGCTTCTGAATCAATGATTTATATAGTGATTTATTGTAATATTATTATATTTCACACTTTCTGAGACCAGACCACGTGCCAAGCAAAACATGGTACAATAATTTTTATGAAAAAGAAAAAACGTTCCATGATTTGCTTGTAGGCGGAATACCGCCAGGTTGCCCAGACCAAGGCAGATGAATTTTCTTGAGGAATCCACAACCGGAGCCTTTGGCTAGCCAAAGCCTGACCCGCAAGGCATCGAGGCGGTGTGAAAACTACAATCCATTGGAAGCCGGTGCCAGTACATCAGATCATGCGCCCTTCGGACGGGGTCAAACGTCCTAGGTGTCCAATACACCTCGAAGCCGGTGACCATTGCCACAACCGAAAAGGTGTGGGTGTGGTTCGTACGTCTCCTCATGGTTGGTTTGGAATCAGGGCTTTTGGCCAACTCCCCTGGGTGAACTGCCAGTCATCCACCAACCCAGTTATAGCCCCGTATGTTGGCCTTTCGTCCTTTGGTGGGAAAACACCTGGGCCACGAGAAGGCAGTTAGTAGGGCTTCCTCAGCAGAGGCTATCTGAGACGCTTGGTCGTATGGAAGAATTTCGCGATGTGCAAGGGCAGGATGACCAGCCGCAACCCTAGACACCCACCCCCGACCATACTGAGGTTTTTGGATGTATTGGCGTGATTACGAATAACTGAAAACGAGGTTGTTCACCGCTCTTTGAGATATGATCACTTTCCTCCCCCGAACTGTCTCTAAGATACTAGCACCATTGTTCCTGGGTCCTTGCCTCAACAGAGCCAAGCATTTTACATTGCTCTGTATTTCCATATGTTGTGCATACAAAGGAGTACAGAAACTGTTGTGTCTGAAATAACTGACCTTTGATTTGTCATACACATCCATCATGTTGTATGCCAGGTGTAGTCAAGTAGTATTGACCGTCGTTAATCCCGATCTCGTATATTCGAACCACATTAAGCTGCTTACTTTTCTATGTGCCAACCCCATAGACAACCCTTTATTCTCATTGCCCCTATTCCACACGGTTAGGCGTACAACAATGATTTGGACAAAAGGTCCTAGATGATGTTCCATCTGACTGCTTATTCGGAACGATTTATATCCCCAATATTCTCGCCTGTTTTCCCGTTTCCAGAGACTTGGCGTTTGTTTCTGGACAATTGCGTTGGACATAAGGAATTGGAAATACAGGTTAGTCTCCGCATTTATTGTGCACCCAAATGTTGTTATTAGGGTTAATTTTCGAAAAAAGAAACGTGTCTTACTCAATATGAGTGTGATTAGGTAGCTACTCTGTACAGAATCACTACGGTTACCCTCACTCGACTTGATGTCACGTCAATCCCATCATTACTCCGGGTCCTAGGGCTAAGGTTTTCATAAGTTCCCTTCAGCCGAACAGTAGGTTCTCACGACCACGGGACGAGTGTCTTCGACTGATCGTCAAACTAAAGCGTTTCATGTTAAATTTCCCTAACTTCATTGGCTCGGTACACTGAACCAGATTAAAAAATCCACTCGGCGAAATTCGTAATACTAGACATAGGCTCTCCCATGGCCCCCTATCGTAGCCAATGTCCATCAGGCATATATCAACCTCTGGTGCATCAAGAGGACTTGATATACCCACACCACCATGTTACTGATTGCGTTTATGAAATTAAATGCGGGCGTTGTACGACACGCTATAAAAGAGAAACAAGTTAAAGTGCCGAATAGCTGAACACAAAAGATGCACAGGAACCCCCCCCCCCCGAGAATGGTATCCAGCTAGAAAAACTGGAAAGGTGTTCAGTCATTGCCCTAGACGCATTATCAGAAGGACATAACCTCCTACTGGACCAAGCGTAAGTACTCTTCGCATGTTTACCTATCCGTGCTGAAAAATTGTGCGGATTCACTCTCAATCCGTTCTATACACCCGACTGTTTGAATCAGAACAATAGTCACACCTTGCTATGTGGATGGCTAAGTCTACTGAACACGACCAAAGGCAGACGTGTGCTCAGCGAAAATCGATCCCAGGCGGGCTGGCGCTCATGTATGGATACACACTTATTGCAAATACAGGCAGACACGCTGTTTCACACCACTCAGTGACACGGTGACTTGGGTTTGATCTCTTTTCCCCTGTTGAATGGATTCTGGTTACTTACCGATTCGCATTCTCCTGACGAAGACCACCCGAAGTGGCCGAAATCTGGAGCAATACATAACTTCAATTCAGTAACGTCATTTTATTCACAAGCTTTTCCTTGTTAGAAATCTTCGTGGGGTAAGCAATGATTCCTCTGTTTTCTCGTTTTCTAAAGATTACCTGATGTAGCGTACCTTGAGGTGTAAGCTTTTTTTTTACGTGTTTCGCGGTCCTCTCACTGTTTCCCATTTGTTTTACAGAAAGCAGCAGTTTGTGCCTATACACAGTTCCTGACTGCGTATTTATACGACCAAGGTGGACAGTTACAAGTGAACTACCGAGGTTAGTTGATATTTAGTCTTGTTTGAAACTATGGAACAGTTTCATGCAGTTCACAGTCGACTTATTTATCGATTTATCCTCTGCTCATTCTTTTCTCCTACCAAATTCTAGTCTAGATCCCGTATATTTTGTGCAGTACGGGAAACGTGATCATTGTGCATTTCATTAAGACGAAAGGATTGCCTGAATATAATGTGGTTCATCAGGCAATGTCAACATGTCATACATACCACTGTACAAGTAATCCTTTTGGCTCGTTAGGACCTGTCACTAGTTCATCCACATACACCAGTCAAAGTCCAGTCCCGATATCCAAAGAGGTTCGTGCAACAACCTCCAGTGCCCGGGTTAGATTCCCTTGGAATATTGGGTTATGCATCGCTGACCCCAAGTAAACATCTTCAGAGTGATGTACGCAACGCCTTGTCATTGCTTGATAAAATAATTTCAAACCGTTCCATCTATTACTGCCCAATCAGATTTAACACTTGCTTTTACATGCTTGAAAAGCTGAACTGTTTTGCGCTGTGTTGTACACTGCCTACTACTCAGTCATGGACGCATTCATTTCAATGAATAACACTAATATCTCACGACACCCAACATATTTTCCCTCAGTGCTTGAGTGACGACCAAATACGAACCCCAAATCCAATTCCAGAAGTTTTTTAGCTACGTCCGCTATGGGACCGAATTATGTACAAGCAAAATAAAATACATCAAATTGGGGGACATTCTGGTTCCAAGTATATGCACGGGAGGCGAACAACATCAAGCAGTGTCGTTCACCAGAAACGGCCACCGGAAGGAATGTCCTGAATGTACAAGGCTTCAAGGTGGCACAAATCGCAGAAAATGATCCCATGTGGCTGCAAAACTGTGATCAGAGGTTGAATTTAACTGTGAGGACACGGATGGTGTAAACCAAACGAGCGATTGCACTGTATGGTGAAACGTCAGGTGTGATTAATTTCCCCAATATTCTGAAACNTCGTTCGTACTTATGGTTCGCAGTTTCATTCTCTTCCGACATTAAGCCAACATTTAGCTTTGATTTAGCTCCCAATGGGACATACACTCACGTGAAACCTGCCTCCGTTCTACGTTTCGCTCACAGATAAATTGTTCCAACATTTTTGCGCCCAACTGGATACGAACTCGGAAACGAAACAGTCTGGTTATTTACAAGTATTGACCGAGGCCCCAGCTGATTTGTTCACCGGTCA